TCCACAGACAGGCCCAATGCCTACACACCTTCCCTCGTTGACCAACATGGAGTGAGAGCTTGAAGTTGTGTGCCAAACAGTCTGTGTGATTGCTGTATTCCAGGTAATGCCAGGGGCTAAGAAAAAATGTTGTCTGTGCAAAGACACAGGCAAGACTGGCCTTGACATTTCCCCAGACTTCCATGACCTTGCATGTCTGTATCACACTTAAAGCTTTTCCATAAACATTCTGATCTGCATGATCTCAGCTACATTTCATCAACAAACATGGCAGTTAGCATAGCTCACTGAACCCTGGTGTAGCTACACATGTCAATCACACTAATGCTTGATTCTCTCGATGTCGAAACCATTGCTTGTCTTAATCACAGTACACAGCATTGACCCAACTTAGGAAAGTGCTGTTTGTGGTCTCCTGGTCTTGCCCTGCCTTATACTTCCATGTGTGTTTACTTCACTCTGATCCTTTTAGGGCATTTTTCTACAAAGTTAAAGTAAAACGGGGGCCACTTATTCCAGCTGTTTCTTCCTTACTAAAATAAAAGCAAATAAAAGGTTCTGGGGACCCTAAGATGGAACTGAAGAAGTAAATGATTGCATTTGTTCTTCCCCAACCCCATTTGTACGCACGAAAAGAGGAATGACAGATTGAACGTTTTCAGTGTAGTACCTCAGCATGTGTGCAGGTAGGGAGTCTGTCATAAAATTCAACCTGGGATGAGATGTGGCTGTTCAATTTCATTCCCTAAACCAGGTTAAGTCAAAGCTGTCCTACCAAAGAATCTAGCAAAATAGTTGTCTCGTTTGCAGAGGTGTGAGAAATGAAGAGGCGTCAGAGCATTTGACTAGTCACATTTTCACAACCAGCATGTTGAGTGACCCTGGCAAATCTCAAGTACTTCTGCTAGGCTTTTCTATAACGTTCAGAGTCCCAAAATAGCCATTTCCACAGTGGACGGTGACACAGACTAGTAACTGCTACAAATCCGCCTCTTTAGGAGGAGCATGTAAGAATCTAGAGCGGTGGTTTTCAACATATGGGTAGTGACCCCTTTTGGGGTCAAACGATCCTTTCATAAAGTTGCATATCATATTTACATTGCAATTAAGAGTAGTAGCATTAAAGGGTTGCAGCATTAGGAAGGTTGAGAATCACTGATCTAGAGGGTACTAGAAGCCTTGACATGCTCAATTCCTATGCCTTAACAAGTGGATAAAGAACGAGGAATGTTGCCTCAAATGTTCCTTTGGCTTTCTTATGCTGAATTTAATTATTGCTCAACAAACTTCACTATGAAAATTGCAGTTTGTGGCATTTGCTATTCTTGATGTGTGGTTGCAGGGCCTTGGGTATGTGGACACTTGCTACCTGTGACCCTTAAGCATTAATTTTAAGAGCGCCTTAATGGGAGAATTATTCTGCTCTAATTGATCTGTTTTTAACTTACTAAATTTGCTGTGAGAACACTCTGGTTTCTAGGACGAAGATATCTTAAGTTCAGGGTGAAGACAGAGCACTATGATAGAAACTGAAAGTTCTTTCCTAGTGCTAACTTTGTGGTAACACCTTCCAAAAGCTGTTGAAGCCACCAAAAGGTGTTCCAGAGACTTGTAATATTTCAAACTTGCTCTTGAAGGTTCAGGGCTGAATTATCTCACATTCAGTTATGACCTGGCTCTCCTAGTTGTGTTTACAGACAAAAACAAACAAAACAATAGACTAGTGACTGGCACACGACCATTTCAACTGGTTAAGAGCAAACCTGCCCAGCTGATGTACTGTGTTATGGAATAAAGTCATCTTGATGAGAAGGAATTTAAACAATAGATTATTTTGTTACCTACTGGAAGAACTGTCTTGAATTTGTTTCTTTAGAAATTCTAAATAAAATGTTTAATGTTAATAAATGTCTTTGTAAAAGTTCTGCAATTCTAAATTTATTTACATTACTATAACAGGGTCTGTAGAGAAAAAGATTAACTGAAAATAGCATGAACATTAAAACTTAAAATCAGGGTCTGTAGACTTCTAGTTATGCAATCACCACAGGTGATTGACTTACGTTCTTGAACTCCACAGTAGCAGATAGAAGGGCCCCTGCTCAGCAAGTGGCCTGTGTTGAAGTCACAGCAGGCATTGAGTGACCACTTTGCTATAAAGGTTTTTGTCTCTTCCCAAGAGAGGAAGGTGATCCCTAAGGACATAAACCTTGGAGTTATTACCACTTTGTGGTGTCTTCCTATCAATCAAAGAAGTTACTCTGTGAGAAAGCAAGACTGCCTTCAGTGAGTTGGTCCCAAATGTGTTCTGACAGCACACTACTCTCAGAGCTTCAGTTAGGCTTACTGAAGAGGCGATCTGGTGCCATTCCAACCATTTTGTGTCACAACGTAGTCCAAAGTCCAGAGGGCTCCACAGCCTTTGGTTTTTTTTTTTTTTTTTTTTTTGGTTTTTCGAGACAGGGTTTCTCTGTGTAGCTTTGCGCCTTTCCTGGAGCTCACTTAGTAGCCCAGGCTGGCCTCGAACTCACAGAGATCCGCCTGGCTCTGCCTCCCGAGTGCTGGGATTAAAGGCGTGCGCCACCACCGCCCGGCAGCCTTTGGTTTTACTAAAGTTTTCTGTAGTAGTTTAAAAAGTGGACCAGGAAGTAGTGAGAACCTTTGGATTTCTGCTGTTAGTAATTATCTAAATGGGATTGTAGATTATAATTTAACTTTCTAAAGATTTTATGTGTACGGGTATTTTCCTGCACATTTGTATGTCTGTGTAGTGCACGCACACCTGGTACTGGAAGAGGCATCAGACACCCTGGAATGGGAATTAGACAGACAGTTGTGAGCTACCATGTGGTTGCTACGAATCCAGCCAGGGTCCTCTAGAAGAGGAGCCAGTCCTCTTAATCACCAAGCCTTGTCTCCAGTCACAAGTTTAGCTTGTTTAATGTTCACTCTGGCCGTTTGTACAAGCTAATGAAGCCAGGCTCTGACTTCCTTCCGAGTAAGGAAACCGACCAAGGAGAGACACTGGGGTGACCAGACCTGCAGCAACCAATTTCTGATGGCCAACTGCACATTCACTTTAAGTTGGGAATCTGCTTTAGCACTGGCAAAGTTCTGTGACTCAGTGGCAAGGGTCTGTACTTCCCACCTCCAAGGGCAACTATAGTTCCTATGGAGACACCTGCTTACAAAATTAAGAAGGCCACATATGACCTCTTCAGGGAAGGGGGACATTGAGCTTCCAGGACCCTCCCAGAACTCAACTGTTTCCAGCAGCCACTCTTCTGTCTGCCTTGCAAGTGACTGTGAAGCTCTAAGGATTCAAGGAAGGAAGAGATGAGCTTCGCAGCCACTGGCACTTCACTTGCAGCAAGAGAGGACACCAGGGTTTCCTTCTAACCTCAGCCAGCAGAACCATCAGGTGAGCAAGGCACAAAAAGCCTAACATTGGTAATGGTGCTGTAAACTATCTGATGGGAACAACTTCAAAGCAACTAGTTCTGGCCAGAGTCAATTTAGCTAGCAAAGACTAGTCAAACCGTTACTGATAATTTCCACTTTATTTACTGTACAAGTTCACATAAAACATTTTTTCAGCTAAGGTAGATTTATTGTTACATGGTTAGTTTTTATAATGTAATCCCTTGCCTGAGCAACTCAGGACTTCACAGGGCCTGCTACTGGTCACAGCTCACACTGCAGCAGGCAGATCACGGGCATGCTGTGCTGCCAGATCCTCCACAGTCACAAAGGTTTGTATTTGGACATTTTTAAGTGCACAACACCAGAGGGAACAATAAATGCACAAGGGCTGGTGCATATACTTTGGTTATAGTGACACCACCACACATGGTTACAACTGTGCAAAAATACTGTTTTGTGTCATTAAATAAAAAAGGAATTCACACAAGCTATAAAAATGTTGCCACAAAAGCAAAGCTTTTCGACTGACATACTATGAACTATCCCCAGATGCTCTCAAGTATGAGAACTACAACAAATGATCACTGTTTTTGTTCGTAATAATCTAGAAACCTTAAAGCCGAAGCCTAGGCATCTTGAGACAATGTACTGCCCTGTGTCCACAGGACATTTGGAGGAAGTAAGCTCGCATACTACTGTCCAGACATTTTCCTCATTCTTGTACCTTCTACCAGGTCTGTTCTTAGATGACCTTGCTATGATGTTTATTCCAGTTTATTCTGGAAATTATGCTCTTCCTGCCTCCATCTCCCATGTGCTAACTGATCTCACTCAGCCTTTCCTTTTTTTTTTTTTTTTTTTTTTTTTTTTTTGTTTCGAGACAGGGTTTCTCTGTGTAGCTTTGCGCCTTTCCTGGAGCTCACTCTGGGCCGGCAACCACTCAGACTCAAATAAACACATAGACACTTATATTATTTAAACTGTTTGGCCTAATGGTTTAGGCTTCTTGCTATCTAGTTCTTATATCTTAATTTAACCCATGTCTATTAATCTATATGTTGCCAGGTAGCTCGTGGCTTACCAGTACTTTACATCTCGCTTTTCATGGCAGCGGCTGGCAGCTTCTCACTGACTCGGCCTTCTTCCCAGAATTCTCCTCTCTCCTTGTCCTGCCTATACTTCCTGCCTGACTACTGGCCAATCAGCACTTTATTTATCAATCAATCATCCACAGCACATTGTAACCTAGGCTGGCCTGGAATTCACTGGGTAGCCCAGGCTGGCCTCAAACTCAAACCCGTTCTCTAACTTTAACCTCGTAAATACTATAGGATTACAAGTGTTCGTGATGCTTGACTGAGCACTTAACTTCAGTAAAAGCAAATAACTGCCTAAAAACATATAAACGCTACTTTAAAAACCCAACGCTTCTCTCAATAGGTATGTTAGGGAATCGTGATGAAAGCTAAACCAAAGTGTCTTACAAGATACCATGTGGTTAAACGGTCACACCAGAAGACTGAATTAGTGAGGGCAGAGTACAGAGACTGGCCAGTGTTCAGATGCTCTCCCACTGGAACTGACTTAGAGCCATGTACACACCTCACTTCCAAGGAAGGCTGCCTGTAGTTGGTTGTGAATAAAGCAATAACTCACTTTTCTATAATCCAGAGTTTTAAAAAAACTTATTTTTAAGTGTATGTGTGTTTTGTCTACATGTATGTTTGTGCACCACATGCATGCCTGGTGCCTGTGGAGGCGAGAAGAGGATGATCGATCCCTTAGGACTGGAGTTTACAGACAGCTGTGAGTCCCCATATGGTTGCTGGGACTTAAACACGGGTCCACTGGAAGAGTAGACAAGGTGTCTCTCCAGCCTCAGTCACTCACTTTTCTGTCTTTTCATAAGAGATTCTAATGGAGTCAAAAAGGATCCACGAGGCTTGAGTGCAAATGGTACCTTTGGTACAGCCAGCTTTCATTCAGAAACCCCAAAAAGCATTGAGGGGAAAAGGAATCCTCATCAGATTCTAGGGCACATTCTTTCTTTTCCCGACATACAGAGGTCTTTGAGCTTCCTGCACACACCATGACTACCATGGCAGGGCTATGGAGTCTTCACAATGCCTGACAGACACCGACCACCCGTCCTCATGGGACCAATTTCAACTTCATCTCCTAATTTTTTCTTTAATATTTAAAAGATTGATTTATGATTTTACATATGAGTGTTTTGCCTACATGTATGTATATATTCATTCACCTGTATGTGTGTATCTGTATGCATGTGCTTATTGAGGGCAGAAGAAGGTACCAGAACTCCTGGGGGAACTGGAGCTACAGGTGGTTTTGAGCCACCCAACAAGGGTGCTGGGCATCAAACTTGGGCCCCCTGGAAGAGCAGGAACCATGTCTCTAGCCCCATCCTGCTACTTCCTTTCTCTTCTGAAAGACCTGACTTGCTTATCTGTCCCCAAACTCTCCTCTTTGAGCCCTGGGCCTGGCACAGGAAGAACCACCGACCCTACTCTAGGGCCATCCAAAGATGAAAACACCATTCCAGTGCCATTTCATACCTGATTAATCAGGAGTTTCATTGTCTGTCACATGACAGCAGCACATTAGGACTATGAAGTATTTCTAGTAACACATGCTCTTCAAGCACAAATCATCTCAGCATACAAATATGCACAAGAGACTCAGGAAGCAAGGCCATGTCTACAGTACTGTATCAGCATATAAGCAGGGGGTGTCAGAATCTGAAATAACAGAGCATACATCTTATATAAATCAAATGGGACAACAGAGTGCATACACACAAGTGAAATCACACCACCAGTTAAGAAATAAACCAGGGACCATCAGACACAGGTTAGGTTCTTATTCAACCAGATATAACATAAATTCTTATGCCACACTGACCCCCACTTAACCACCATGTCCAACAAATGGACACTTAACCACACATATTCTCAAGCTTCAGCTGGAATCTTCTATCCAGCTCTGCTCAAGCTTGGCATGCCCATGGTCCAGAAGACAATGTGAGGAGTGTATAAATGGGAGAACAAAGGAAATGCCAATTATAATATTTTTATGCAAATATGAAGAAGGGATTTCCATTACGACTAAAAGTGGAAACTCTTGAGAAGGGGAAAACTCCATTTCTCATAGGTTTTGTGTGTAAGTTAAAAATATCAATGAAATCCACCCCGACATTCATCCATACAAGAAATAGGACCACACGACCTGCCAGCAAGTTCCTTCCCCTTATAATGCAAATGATGCCAACAGATCCCAGCTATTCTCAGTGTTTGCCATGTATGTGTGAGCATATGGGGCAAAATAAAAAGCAAATGTATTCTTCACTAGCACCATCAAAATAACTATAAAAGAAAGCTAGACAGTTTCTACTCAACTACCAACTTATTCCTAATAACCATCCTAAACTAAGCCACTTGTATAAAGGGTCCATCCAATACCAATACACAACGTCTTTGCAAAGCATCTATAAAACTGGGTCAAGTACCAGAGTTTAGGAAAAAAGAAAAGCACATGGCAACATTGAACGTGGGCCCTGAAAATATCAGAAGAACAGGAATAAGATTCGGCAGTACATCTCAGAAAACTATGAGGATTCTGATAAGCATTATATACTTTGGTTGTCTTAACCACCAACTGAATACAAGCCTCCCATTCTCACAGTAACACAGACATGGTGAGCTGAAACAATACATAAATTGTGTGGCTTATTTACAACAAAATAAGTCATTAAATGGGCATCCTGGAAAGACTGCCTTGCTTGAAGACAAAACTAAAAAGGAATGAGCTGCATGCCACAAAGATGTCAGCACTTCACTTGAGGTCTCCATCTCCTTCTCCATCCCCTTGGATGGACTTCTTGATTCGAAGCAACATGGTGGTCAGCCACTGATCCAAGCGTGATATTGAGTCAAACTCCTTCACCTGGTTTAAGGAATGAAGAATAGGAATTATACCCTGAAACACATTGAAAACTCAAGATGATAGTGACCTAAGCTATTCAAAGATGTTACTGAAATAACCCACTGACTTTGATTAGAAATTACTCATTCTAATTTATAGCTTTCCTCACTAAAAACAGTTTTCCTAGCTGGGTGGTAGTGGTGTATGTCTTTAATCCCAGGACTTGGGAGGCAGAGGCAGGCAGATCTCTGTGAGTTTAAGGCCAGTCTGGTCTATAGAGTGAGTTCCAGGACAGTCAGGACTGTTGCACAGAGAAAGCCAAGCCAAACAAACAAACTGCCCCCCCCCAAAAAAAAACCAGTTTTCCTTTATGCCATAAGCCTGTGCATTTAATTTTTCTCTGGATGTGAATATGTGTATGGCAAAAACCCACAAAAGCTATTATAAACAGAAAGGTGAATTCTATGTGACAGAGGTCAGCGGGCATGGCATAAGAATTAGAAAGGCATAAGAAAACTATTATCTACTGACCATGAAAACATACAATCAAATAATTAGGGGATGGGGAGCAGAATTCCCTTGATGGATTTTAGCACATGCAAAGAAAGACAGTGACATTGGGTGAAAGCAGTTAAGGGTAAAAGTGAAGATAGTCCTTTTCACTGTCACTTTAGGACTGGAGTGGAACTCATTCCAGGCCACTGAGAAATCTGCTTTGATTCTGAACACAAGACTGCAACAGATTAAACAAAAACAAAACCAAAAAAGACAAGTACAAAGAAAGTAATCTATATCACAAATACACCAAAGTCCACCAAAGGCCCAGTTTTGATATTTTAGTTTTAACCATAAGCCCTTCTTTACACTGTCAGACTGTTCTTTAATCACCAAAACAGCATGTTACGACTCTGTCACATGTTTCTGAAGAAACAGTACAGCTAAGATAGTTCTCAGTGGAAATCAAGAATCAGGGCTCAATACAATGAGAACTTCTGCATGGTGACGGGTTAATGGAACTAAATTTTTTTTAGATTTATTAACTTTATGTGTATGAATGTATGTACACAATGTGTGCGTCAGGTGCCCATAGAGGTCAGAAGAGGGTACTGGGTCCTCTGGAACTGGCGTCACAGATGGTTATGAGCTGTGGGGTGCTGGGAACCCAACTCTGGACCTCTACAAGAGAAACAAATGTTCCAAACCACAGAGCCATCTCTCCAATCCTTCCTTAATGGAAGTAGTTTGTGGGACATATAGGACATCTTAAAAAAATACAAGCAAGTTGAACCACATTTAAATAAATGTTCAGAATTTATGCAATGTAAAGAAAAAGGAATTTTTATACTGTAAACCTTTAAAAATGCAAAACTTCCTGAAGGTGTAACTTACGGCTTCAGTGTAAGCTTCACTGTTCTGTTCTTCATGAGCTTCTAGAAGTTTCTGGTGGCATTAAAAAAAATCAAGAAAGTGCTTTAAGCTAGAAAGTCCTGTTTCTGAAGGAATACTTTAAACACAAATCACCTTGGTATCTCATGAACTGAAGTTCCTAGTATCTCACAAAAGCAGGATATATCCAAATATAAGAATTACCCAAGAAAAAGGTCTAGCTTTATACTGCTATTTCAATTCTGCCTACTCCGGCACAGTGTTAAACAGTCTAACCCTCTTAACATATGAGTATCACCAATGAAAAGGCCAAGGCTGAGGTACCCAAGTGATGGCTTGTCTTCACTGTCAACTTGACCCAATTTAGAAACACATCTCTGGGGTGTTTCTAGAAAGGTTTAACTGAAGAAGGAAGAGCTAAAGAGGGAAGACCCACCACCCCGAGTCCTGGACTGAATACAAGGGAAGTGCAAGTGAGGCACCAGCATTCATTTCTCTCTGCTTACTCTTTGAAGATGCATTGTGACCAGACACGCCACCAAAATGTAGCCCAAACATACTTCCTCTTTTAAGTTGCCTGTTGTTGGGTTATTTCATTACAGCAATAAGTCCAGTAACCAATAAACCCTCAGAAGACTTACTTACTAAAACTCCACCCATCAGCAGTCTTAAGTGCTATCACCCGAGAGTAAAGGCTTCTGTCTTCAAAATGCCTTCAGTACTTACTTTCAATAATTTACATTCTCTGGAGTCAGTAAATGCTGGGAACATTTCCTCGTACTTCTCAAGAGCCAGCTGAGGAAGGAAATGACCGGTCAATGTGAAACTTAGTGAACTAGGGACGTTGTCAATGTCCTATTAATCCAAAAATTTATTTCATCCCATTTAACTGTTGGAGAAATATCATGTTAAACTCCACATCATAACACAGGGAACCTATTTATTTGGATATTCCATTTCAATTGAGAATAAAATTTCTAAGTTTTTAGATTTCAGTTGGGCTATTCAAGAGAAGAAACTGAATAAAGTCTAATTCACACCAGGATCTACATTTGTCTACTAAACAGAGACCTTCCTTCACACCTCCAAATGTCAAATACCCATAGGGTAGGAGGTACTCTAGGGTGGTTGTTCTTTGTGGCTCTTTGAACTCTAGATGGCCAGTGCCAAGGCTGCTTGGTCAGTCTTGCTTTCTAGCTGCCATCTTAATTTGCAGCCTCGACCTTCATTCTATTCTAATTCCACTTCTGGGCTTGTTTGTATACTTTTTATTGTTGTTGTTGTTTTTGAGACAGGGTTGCTCTGTGTAGTTTTGGTGCCTGTCCTAGATCTTACTCTATAGACCAGGCTGGCCTCGAACTCACAGAGATCCACTTGTCCCTGCCTCCCCAATGATGGAATTAAAGGTGTGAACCACCACCACCTGGCCATTTTTTTTTTTAAAAGAGGGCTTAGAAGCTGGGTGTGGTGGCACACACCTTTAATCTCAGCACTTGGGAGGCAGAGGCAGGTGATCTCTCTGAATTCGAGGTTATCCTGGCCCATACAGTAAGTTCCAGGACTGCCTGAGCTACATAGGGAGACCCTGTCTCAACAACAACAACAAAGGCTATTAGGCCCAGTGTGGTAGTTTAGCAGTAAAGGCATTTGCTGCCATGCCTGGATTGAGTTTGACCCATGGATCCTATATGGTGGAAGAAGACTAACTCCTAAAGGGTGTTCTCTAGCTTCCACATGCCTGCTGTGACATATTCATATGCTCTCCCTTCCCCACAAAAAATGAATAACAAACAAATGTAAAAAGAGGGACAGAGGACACTAGCTTTACTGTCCCTCTTTTAGTTCCCCATTCCATTTAAAGCAACCACTACAGGAAACTGCACCGCAGCTGTCGAAAGATTCACACTCACACATCATGGAAGAACTATTACTTTTACTTGTATGTGTTGGGGCAGAGTGAGTATGTATTCATGTGGCTGTGTGCCCAAGCATGTTAGGGAGGGCGCATATGCACGTAAGTGTGTATAAGTGGAGGCCACAGGTCAGTATCAAGTGTCTTTCTCAATTACCCTCCACCTTCTTTTTTGAGATGGGTCATCTCTTTGAACCTGAAGTTTACCACTTGGCTGGACTGGCTGGCCAGCAAGCTTCAGGGACCCACTTATTTCTGCCCTCCTCCTCCGCAGGAAAGACAGATGTGAGCCACTGCATCTGGCTTTTACATGGGTGCTGGGCATGTGAACTCGGTCTGTAGGTTTGTGAGTTCAGTGTGTTATCAACTGAGCCGTCGACACAGTTCTCAAGACCTGCATGCAAAGACATCAAGAACAACAAAGCATCTCTTCTCGAGGGTAAAGTAAGTCATCAGAATCAAGCATGCTCTCACCTTGGCATTCAGCTCATCCACTATAAAGTGACAGAGTGCTGCCTTGAAGAAGTAATCCTTTGCACTGTACTTCAACAAGGGGTTATCCATAGTGTTTGCTCCTACCTAGGCAGAGAAGACAGAAAGTCACTAGCAAAGGCAAAATAACCCACTGCCTACTCGCCTGTTTTGTTTTGTTTTAAAAAAAATACTTTTCAGTATCTTATATTGATATACTCAATACTAGATAGGACAAAATTTTACTAGATAAATAATCATTAGGCACATGAACTGTTAAAAATGCCTAGAAGACCTCTGCTTCTGAGACGATGAAAAAGTCTCAGCTTTGCACCATTCTTCCTATGAAAGACAACTAGAAGTTTGTTATTTTAAGAAAAATGTCTGTTGTATGATATCTTGATTGCACTATAACAGTAAAGTTTGCTCTGAGTCAGAAGGCGGAGCTAGCCATTAGCTGACCAAAATTAACCATAGAGGTCTTGAAGGACTGAAGACAGATAGGAGACAGGAAGTAGTAAAGTGGGGCTGGAAAAGATCTCCATCGCTTCTTTGATCATTCAGGTTCTTACCCTGATATCTGACTCCTGATTTCTATTAATAAAGAATAATTAGATAAACGCTACAAATGTCTGTGGACAGAAGGCACAGGACAGCCAACCAGTAAATCACCTGGGGACTCGGGGGCGGGGCTACTGGGTTTTATTCTTTACTACAACCCCAACATAGAAATTAAGAACCCAGCATCCAGAAGCTCCAGGAGAAGCCAATGAAAAGAGAACAGGTGCTGGGCGGTGGTGGCGCACACCTTTAATCCCAGCACTCAGGAGGCAGAGGCAGGTGGATCTCTGTGAGTTTGAGGCCAGCTTGATCTACAGAGTGAGATCCAGGACAGGCACCAAAACTACACAGAGAAACTCTGTCTTGAAAAACCAAAAATAAATAAATAAAATAAAATAAATAGAACAGGTAAAGGTCTTAAGGGGCCTAACAGGGGTGGGAACTTCCACATCATAATGGTAATATTACCTTCCTCTGCCCAGAGTCTCCTTTCTAGGTATTAGCAAAGGCCTAGAGGAGCCTGAGCTTCCACCTCTATCAATACCCCTAGTTCTCCAAATGGTGCTAAAGAGGGCCAATAAAAATCAGATGCAGCCTCAGAGCACAATCTGAAGTTCATCAATCACAGCACAATCTGAAGTTGACCACAGAGGCAGCAGACAATCAGGGAACAGAAATGTCAGACCTGTCTAAGTTTGCTTAAAGAAGTCCTCAGGAAAAAATCCTCAACAAGCTTACAAAAATGCTTGACGCTAATAAAAAAGAAAAGAAAATCAGAGCAAGTGGTAGAGCTTTGTGGAGGAGCACCACAGAGCTCAATCTCCAGAATCACAAAAGTAAAAAAGCAACAATAAAGAAACACTTGGAGCTGGGTGGTGGTGCACACCTTTAATCCCAGCATTAGGGAGGCAGAGGCAGGTAGATCTCTGTGAGTTTAAGAGCAGTCTCCTCTATACAGCAAGGTCCAAAACAGTGGAACCCAGTTTCTTGAAAATGAAACAACAAAACAAACAAAACAAAAACAAAACAAGACAAAACAAAAAAAACAAAAAGGAAAGAAAGAAACATTTGGAGCTAGAGAGACAGCTCAGCAGTTAAGAGCACTTGCTGTTCTCCCAGAGGATTCAAGTTCAGCTCCCAGAATTCATATCAGGTGGCTCACAACCATGGGTAACTCTAGTAACAGGGTATCTGATATCCTCCCCTGGCCTCCTGGACATCTGTACACACATACACATGGATACACATGTAAAGCTGCCTCTGGGGGGCCAGCCTCCAGGCAGCACCCAGGGTATGCAAAACAATTCCATGAATGCAGTGAGGGCTAGACTTTTTCTATTTGAGGGGAATAAGAAAGAAACACAGGCTTCTGATGGTAACTTTTTCTTTTACTTCATCTTGAAATATCCCTTTCTGAAAATCTGTCTCCACACAGCCACATTTTCTACATACCTCTTCTACACAGCTATACATTTCATCTACATAGCTCTCTTCTATCCATACATCTCTCAACAGCTACATCTCTTTTCTCAACACATCTCTCTTCTACACACACTTCTTTCTACCCTGCTATATTTCTTCACATACAGCTACATTTCTCTTCTCGATCACTCACACACACACTCACTCACACACTCACTCACTCACTCACTCACACACTCACTCACTCATTCACTTACTCACCTCTTCACTCACTCACTACTTACTGCTACTTACAGAACAAACTCTGGACAATAAATAAATTACATAATCAGGGTCACATAGCCTTACTTGAGCAAACAATAAGAAACAGAGCCATTCTGGTAACACATGAGAAATCACATGGCCTCCTGAAATGTCACACTGACTGTAGCTATGGCAATGCTTGGCTGTCAGCCAGGTCCCTGACAGGCAGTCTGTAAAGCAAAGCAAAAAGGCACGTAGACATCCAGAGCCTAATGTTTCCGGACGGAGAGTGACATTGAAATTCAGGACCTAAACAATAAACAGTTATTTGGCTGAACCTTGAGCCTTGAGTCATAAAACTGAGTTTTAGGAGTACGTGCAGAAAGTCAACTGTTGCAGGGAGTTATGTCTACTAAAGTTGTTTTGTGCCTGGCCTTGATTAAACAGACACCTGGGAATCTGTCTTTGTGCAATCATTTGCAGGGGCAACTAGTTTACTTTGAAATTGCTCTGAGGGCTAAAATTAGCTAAATTGGTAAAAGTCTGTCTTTGTGACTTCTGCATATGCACTAAATGGGCTCAACAGCAGGGTGGATGGGACACAGCAAAACTGAACAGGATTTCAGGCACAGGACAGAAGTTTCTCAGAGTAACAGAGAGGTAGTAGGTCTACCCTTCATGCCATTTGCTGGGAGTGCAGTGTAAAGGGCTGGAAAGTACCTGAAGAAATGACAAATCAACACTTGGCCATCTGACAAGAAATAAGCCTATAGACTGCAGTGGAGTGAAAATCAAGCAGCAGAGACCCAGACATCTGCATGCAAGCCACATTAGAGTTAAACTCATGAGCCTGAAGACAAGGAACTATCAACCCAGAGTCCTGCCTTCAGGGAAAATGTTTCTAGAATGGAAAGAAATATGAAGACATTACCAGATGGACAGAAATTAAGATAATTTGTTAGCAAAGATCTGCCATTTAAAAAATGGCACAAGTATGCACTTTAAATAGAGAGAAAACATTAAAATAATGCATCCTGGAGGAATAGGAAGGAAAAACATAGTAAGTAAAAATTCAAGTACCACAGGCTTTCCTTCTAAATTATGTTTGATGGCTGAAGCAAAAACTCCAACACTGCTGGATGAAGTCCTAATGTGTGCACAGTACATAAAGACAATTAATTGCAGAACCAGGGAGCATCAAATGAGGCGAGATTTTTTACATTTCACTGGATTAATAAAATGACGACTACTCTAGTCTTTGATGAGCCATGTCAACGTGATGACACTGGGAGGGCAACTGCTTAAGAAAATATCACGAGAAGAAATGTATCCCCCCTCCCAAGACAGAGTTTCTCTGTGGAACAGCCCTTCCTGTCATGAAACTCACTTTGTAGACCAGGCTGGCCTGGAACTTGCACAGATCTGCCTGCCTCTGCCTCCCAAATGCTGAGATTAAAGGTGTGCACCACCACACCCAGCTGGAAGAAATAAATCTTAAAGACATTACAGATAACCAAGTAACCCACAAGAGGCAGGGGAGAGAAAATGACAACAAAAACCACAGCACAGTTAGAAGGTAAAATACAAAATGGTAGAATTAAGCTCTAACATACCAACAATTAATCAAATGTGCAAGATATAATCACATCAATGAAAGGACAGATTTGAGCTGAAAATACTTCGGTTGATAAAGTGCTTTCCTTGAAAACATGGGGCCTTGAGTTCAATCATCAGCTGTTAGCAAGGAAAAAAAAAAAGACAGATTGCAGAGCGGATGAAAAAAATGTACCTCAATCATAAGAAGTTCAAAAACTTTACTTGCATTATAATGGTACAGAAAGAAGTAAAAGATGTATAAACATCACCGAAAAGGAAAACAGGAAAGAAATAGGAGAGGCTTTAAGTCTTTAGCACAAGCATAATTACCAAAGATACAGGATGTTACAGAATGATAAAAGGATAAATCTGATGAGAACCATGACCCAGACACACAGAAGCCAAGGGTGACATGGTGAGCAGAATGGTGGGTAAGGCCACAGTGACAGCTGAAGCCTTCAATATACAGCAGAAACAAACAGAAAACCATCAAGAAACCCAGTGGTTCTAATCAGCTAATAAGGTTTAATCAACACAGAGAGCAGGCCATGCAGCAAGGGCAGAACCACAAAGCACAAGCCAAGACAGACTCTGCATCCTACAATAATCTTCAACAAGTTTCTAAAAGAAATCACACAGAGTATGCTCTCCAATCACAATAGAACCAGAGAGAACGATTACAGGAAAATCAGCAAACACTTAGACATACTTTTTAAAAATTTTTCAAGACAGGGTTTCTCTGTGTAGCCCTGGTTGTCCTGGAACTTGCTCTGTAGACCAGGCTGGCCTTAAACTCCGAGATCCCCCTGCCTCTGCCTCCTGGGTGCTTAGATTGAAGGCATGTGCCATCACTACAGCCTGACTGACACTAAATACTTCTAAAGTGCCTATGAGTCTGCAAATCTCAAGGGAAAATAATAGGTACAATGAGTTGAGTTAAAATGAAAATACAACAACAAAGTAATCACGAGACACACTTAAGGCAGCCATGAAAAGACAACTGTGGTGATATTTTATTTGTGCACTCCAATAAAACTTATCTAGGGATCAGAGAACAGAGCCAGCCACCAAATTAGACATAGAGGTCAGGTGTGGTGGCACACACCTTTAATCCCAGCACTAGTTAACCATAGAGGTCTGAAGGTCTGACCAGACAGACAGGAAGTGATAGAGCTGGGCGGAAAGAGGAAAGTGATGTAGCTGGGCGGAGAGAGGAAGTAAGATAGCAGGGCACAGAAAGGTATAAAAGTGTGAGTATACAGGAAGTAGCTCTCTCTTGGCTGAGGATTTCCTAGCAGTAAGAACGTGGCTGGCCATACCACTCTTGGGCATATACCCAAGGAATGCTCAATCATACCACAAAGATATATGCTCAACTATGTTCACAGCAGCACTATTCATAATAGTCAGAACCTGGAAACAACCTAGATGCCAATCAACTGAAGAATGGATTAAGAAAATGTGATACATATACATAATGGAGTACTACACAGCAGAGAAAAACAATGACAGCATGTTTTGCAGGCAAATGGATGGAACTAGAAAATATCATCCTGAGTGAGGTAACCCAAACCCAGAAGGACAAACATGGTATATACTCACTCATAAGTGGATACTAGATATAAAACAAAGAACAATCAGACTGCAACCCACAGATCCAGGGAGGCTACAAAGCAGGGGGGACCCTAGGATGACTGTGGCTTATAATAAGTTTTGGTTTTACTCAATTACTTGGCAAGCCTCAATGAAACATTTCACTATCACTATTAGGATAAGAATTTATACTGTATCAAGCTGATAATAGTAAAATAAATAAATAGGGCTGGAGAGATGGCTCAGAGGTTAAGAGCACTGGCTGTTCTTCCTGAGGTCCTGAGTTCAATTCCCAGCAGCCACATGGTGGCTCACAACCATCAATAATGAGATCTGGTGCCCTCTTCTGGGCTGCAGGTGTACATGTAGGCAGAACATTGTATACATAATAAATAAATAAAAATGAAAAAAAAAAAAAAAAAAGAACGTGGCTGGCTTCTTTCTGCTTCTCTGATCTCTAAGTTTTCACCCCAATAGCTGGCTCCAGGTTTTTTTTTTTTTATTAATAAGACCACTTAGCAATTCATCTTACAGACAACCACTATCAGTAGAAACACAGATACCACACAGGAAAATCAGTAAGCAATTAAGCTTCCATCTCAAATGTCCCGGAAAGACAGAGACAGAGAGATCTGAAGAATACACAGAAATACATAAAAATGAAAATACAAAAGCACAAGAAAAAAAACCATTAAATTCTACCCAATGTTTAAATATTAAAATCAACCATCATAAATACTTTCAAAAAACATGGGGCTAGAGCTGTGTTGCAGTTAAGAGCTCTGGCTGCTCTTCCAGAGATCTTGGGTTTGATTTGCAGCACCCACGCAGTGGCTCACAACATCTATAGTCATTGGGTTCAGGTGAACTTCCCTGGCTGGCAAGAGCCAAGACACATTTCCATTCCTCTGGAAAAGGAAGTAGAGAAGGACAACAGGGCACTCTGACGCGGCCTCTCTCAGGCTGCCTTATGTCCAAGCATCTCCTGCTGATTTCACCTTTGTCCTCAAATGTGGTAAATGGCAGCCATGCGTGTTAGTGGGTTCTGAGTCCCTTCAGTAAATTATCAGTGCATGTTTGGAGGCCCTGAAACTTCTGATGATCAAGTAGGATTTATCCTAGAATGTATGACTGACTTAACATACACTGTATTTATGTAATAGAGGACAAAAACTGTAAGCTTTTTTTTAAACACATGCATGAAAGGATCTAACAAAATCCAACATCCTTTGATGGAACAAGCACTGAATAAAAAAGGAAGAGACAAGAGCTTCCTCAAATTGACAAAAAGCATTAAGAGCAACGCCACAGCTGGCAGCCCACTTAGTGGTGAGAGACTGAAAGCTTTTCCTCTGCAATTAGGACCAAGAAAGACGAGGATGCCTGTGTTCACCATTTCTATATTAAATACTCTAATGGAGGTTCCAATCAGAGAGTAAGTGAACTGACAAAAAAGTGATATTAAAAGACATTCAGACTGGGGAGAAAAACCTAAACATCTTGTATATAAAAGTTCTATGAAATCTACAAAATCATTAGAGCTAATAAATGGGGACAACAGTGTGGCAGCATAGAAAATATATAAAGAAGCAAAACAACAGTCTACAACCTGAGGAGGAAACTAAGGCAACCGTGTTTGCAGTAATGTTAAGAAGAACAAGATACTTAGGAACATATTTAACAACAAAATACAACTGAACAAGCAAAAATGATGTAAGTATGTGGAAAACATCCTGTATGAATAATGTGATGGTTAATACGAGTGCCAACTTGGGACTAGAACAACAGCTCAGCAGTTTAGAGCACTTGTTGCTCTTGCAGAGGACCCGAGTTCAAGTCTCAACACCCACATGGCAGCTCACAACCATCTGTAACTCCAGTTCCAGAGGATCCTATACCCTCTTCCACAGGCACCAAGTACAATACATGCATATGGTGCACATACATATAGGTGTGCAAAACATTCATATACATGAAGCAGATAAATAAATAAAATGTGATCTTCAACTTGACAGGATCCATAGTTATCTAGGAGGCAAGCCCTTGGGCTTCTTGTGATAGATTACCTAAATTGGGTTAGCCTCTGAGAATGTCCATGAGAAATTCTAAACTAAACTAGGTGAACTGAGGTGGGTATACCCATCCTAACTGTGCCACACATAAAGAGGAAGAAGGAAGCTGACTATCAATCAGCCTTCATCACTTTCTGCCTCCTGACTGTGACTGCCATGTGACCAGCTGCCTCATATTCCTGCTGCTGTGAGTTCTGACCATAAAGGACTTATTCCCTAGTAAGCCAAAATTTACCCCCCTTTTGGTTTTGGTTTTTCAAGACAGAGTTTCTCTGTGTAACCCTGGCTATTCAGGAACTCACTCTATAGACCAGGCTGGCCTCAAACTCACAGAGAGCCACCTCCCTTTGTCTCCCAAGTGCTGGGACTAAAGGCGTGTGCCACCACTGCCTGGCTAAATCTTTCTGTCTTTAAATTACTTTTGTCAGTCATTTAACTGCAGCAACACAAAAACTAAGTGTTTAGATCATATGTCTAAATATTCATAAATGGCAATATTCTCTGAGGATTAATCCTATGTGTCAACACGAGTAGATCATGGGTGCCCAGATACTGGCTAAATATCATTCTGCATGTTTCTGTGTAAGATTTGTATTTTAATCATCAGAGGAGAAAAGCAGACTTCCTTCCCCAACAGAGATGGGCCTCAGCCAACTTACTGATACATGGACCAATTACAAGTCTAGGCAAAGAGGCGAGTGAGATGGCTCAGAGAGCAAAGGTGCTCACCGTCAAGCCGGGCACCCTGTTGATTTCCTGGATTCCTGGTGAGAGAATTAACTTCTGCAAGTTGTCCTTGCATTTGGCCCCCTGCTCCAATAAACAAATAAATGTAATAAAAATATACTTTTTTTTTTAAGTTTAAGAAAAGGACAGCTGATCCTCCTCACCTGATAGTTCTAGCATTGAGACACTGCTCTTCTGCATTCAGAGCAGAGCTCATATGATCTATTTTCATGACAGATCTGTGCCATCTCAACATCTACCACTGAGAGTGAACCCCTAAAATCTTCTCTCTTTTCTTCCTGCACTCCAATCTGTTGGCTCTATTTCTCTTGACTAATATGCTCTTTGAATTGCCCTACACACCCAGTTCAAGTCCCATTAACAGTGAGGCTAGATTCACTGCAGGATGACCCACTTATCCCAAAATTTATGTTAATTCAAGGGATCCAGAAGGAGGACAACCTTGAGAAATAAGAGTCAACTGCAGGACTGACAGTTTCTGATTTCAACCTTCCCTGTAAAGATACTGTTGTCAGGACAAAGTGATACTAGCATAAAGCTAAACAGATGGATGGAGTACAAAGCCCAGAATGAGGCCCCTGTACTAGTGAGACAACTTCCGGCAGGGGCCCCAGATCATTGAAGAATGTATTTAACAAATGACAATGAGTAAAGTGATGTCTATTTGTCAGAGTGAAGGTTGATCCCTGTCTAACATGCACACAAAACTCAGAATGGATCAAAGACTTGAACCTAAGGGCAAAAATCTTAAGACTCTTAGAACAAATCACTGGCTAAAAAGGTTTTCCGTACTCTACTTTCTGCACTCACACACACAAAGTAAGTAACTGTAAAAATTTATTTTAAAGATTAAAAAAAATCTAGACCAAGGCAAATAAACAACAGAATAAAAGGAAAATCCATGCAATGGGAAAAAATATTTGTAAGTAAGTTATTACTGACCATAAAGAACCTGTATCCTAATATCTAGGATTAAAAGAACTCCTAAATCTCAAAATGAACAACGGACTCAGACATTTCACCAAAGATGGAAAATGGCCAGTGAGCACACAAAAATTAATATCACTTATCATGAGATAAAGATGAGATGATGAACCTTCACATTCATTAAGGATCACAGAGAGATGCCAGAGAGGATGTGGAGAAGCTGAGCCCTGGGCACTGTGCTCAGTGATCTAGTACTCTGTAAGAGTCTGGCAGTTTCTCAGCAAGGTAGGCTTGGGGGTACCATGGAGCCCAACAATCTCTATTCCATCCCCAAGTATGCAGCGAAGACAACTGAGAACATGCTCCCACAAAAGTTAAGTGCAAATGTCCACAGCAGTACATCTTCAATAGACCCCAAGTGGAAGCACCCCAAATCCTTATCAACAGACGAACATGTAAGCCAGAGTAAGTATTAATCAACCATGAAAAGCAATGAAACATTGACACATGTTACAATATGAAGAACCTTGAAAACACTATGACAAATGATAAAGTCAGTCCCAAAGAACAGACAGTGCAGCATTCCGTATATGTGAAAGGGTCAAGAATGGCAAATCAGGGAAATAGAAAGCAGGTTGTCTTTCCAAGCTTCTTCTGGGAGTGATGGGAATGTCTTTAGTAGGTAGTAGTGACTGTTACAAACGTTGTCAGGGTGACAACAGAGAGCTCACCTGCTCGTAGATCTCGATGGCTTTCTGATACTGCTCCAGCTGTGCAGCATAGGCTGCCACCTTCAGCAGACACTTGTTAGCAGAGCTGAAAGTGGGACAGTGCAGAGTAAGTGACAAAACTGAGGAGACATGGCCTGAGGACACTTGCTCCTGGCAGAGCTCAGACGACAAAGATGCTGTATCCTTTACCACCTATGAAAAGCCATGACTGATACAAAGAACACATACCTGTTAGACTCTTCTCCTTTGTAATAATCGGCAGATTGTTCATAATGTGCAATAGCCTGAAAGTACATACATTTACTTTACAAACAATTCATTCATGGAATTGCATTTAAAAACTACACATGGGGGCTGGTAAGATGACTCAGTAGGACTCAGTAGGTAAACACGCTTGCTGCCAAGCCTGACAATCCGAGTTTGACTCCTGGACTCTGATGGTGGTAATAGAAAAGTGATTCCTACCAGTTACCCCTGACCTCCACAAGCGTGTCATGGCACACATGTGCACACATAAAATAAATGAATAAATGTAATAAAAAAATTAAAACTACGTGTACATTGATATTTTTCCCTATAATAAAGCTTATTCCAGTGATAAATCTTTCAGAACTTGGCCTCCTCAGCAAATACAGTAAAGCATGCGACCCTGAAGCCTCCTGAAGACAAAATCCTTGTGTTTGAGGTGGAAGATCTCCTGGCTTCCTGCGTCTGCCACAATGCCTGTCGCTTGCTGTCATGCTTCCCTATCATGATGGACTCTATCCCCCTGGGACTCTAAACAAAAATAAGTTCTTTGTTCCATAAATTGCTTTTGGTCATGCTGTTTTATGTACAGCAACAGAAAAGTAACCAATAGTTTCCCTCACACATGGCAAACGGTCCAGCTTCCACTGCAGTCAGGGTGGCCCCATGACTAGTTCTCTGATAGACTGTGACTGGCCAAACATCTTACTCTGTACCTTTTTCTTCATCTTTTCCACTTCCTAAAAGCTAAGACATGGCCAGGTCGGGGGTGAGGGAAGCCACAGACTGAAGAGGGCAGGATTCTATCAACCTGCTTCCTAACTAACCGTTATCACAGCATACTCATACTCTACACCTTACTGCAACAGCTTTGACTCTTCCTACTACCACAAGTACCACCCGAGCAAAGGTGTTCCTCCCACTTAAAATATGTGACCCCAAGCAACAGTCAAAGGGAGAGAGAAGAAAGCTAGAAGCCCTCATCAGGCCGACAGAGTATTAGTGAAATCAGACCCCCCGACATTCAGAAGGTAGAACACACTACCAGAGCCCCAAAGTAATGCAAAGCAGCTACAAGAACAGCATGGTGTATACTGCTTTAATTAAGCCTGATGAGAGCCGGGTGTTGGTGACATACTCTTTTAATGCCAGCACTTGGGAGGCAGAGGCAGGTGGATCTCTATGGATCTGAGGCCATCCTGGTCTACAGAGAGAGTTCCAGGACAGCTAAAACTACACAGAGAAACCCTGTCTCAAAAAAAAAAAAAAAGCCTAATGAGGATGAATCTGGAAATAATTAGCTGCTTTTCAGGCAGTTATAGGGCAACAGGCCATGTACATGGGTAAAGGCCTGGAGAACCAATCAATGACTTCTACGGCCCAAATGGCATCAGTATGTGTGGTGATGTTTTATTTGTGTTGAAATGTGGTGATATTTTATTTGTATGTTAATAAATAAAGTTTAAGCCATTTTAAGTAAACATAAAAGTCAGGCAGTGGTAGCACATGCCCTTAATCCAATCACTTGGCAGGCAGGGTCGCTGTGTGTTCAAGGCCACACTAGGGAACAGAGCCAAGCTTGGTGACACACACGTTTAGTCTCAGTACAAACCATAGAGACCTAGAGGTCTGTACAGACAGGCAGTGACAAGGAAGTGAGGTACCTGGGCTAAGAACCAATGAGAGGGCAGAACAGCAAGGCAATAAAGGCGTGGGTAGACAGCAAGTAGCTCACTTTTGGGAGCTGCAGAGCTGGTGAGGTAAGGTTGGTTGGTGGCTCTCACTATTTCCCTGATCTCTACGGCTTTCACCCCTATATTTGGTGTTTTTTATTTAATAAGACCATTTAGAAATTCGTCTACAAGTATGTCTGTAGGAGACTATAAAACAGATCAGGTAAGCATTTTCTGCAGTGGCTTAAATCCTCCTTGGGGTCAAGGAGCTGACTGAGTTCTGCTGGCAAGTACTCAGTGATCCTGTAACAGCACAGCCACCACCAACATGGGAATAAGTGCTGTGTCTTGAGATTGACAGTAAAACTTCAGTTTTGCATGACTTAAACATGTAAGCAAGTTTATTTTGGGAGGGAGGGTCAGAGGCACATGGAAGTCAGTGGACACTGTGAAGTTGGTTTTCCCTTTCCATGCTGTCTGGGTTCTGGGGACTGGACTAGTTCCTCAGGCTTACACAAGTGCTTTACCCCCTGAGCCACCTTACTGGCCCAATTTCAAAGATTTTTATGTGCCACAAATGTTTTTGCTTCTGATGATTAAGCAGTAAAACACCTTTGTTGGCTTGTAGATGTACACAAGCAATAATAGGTTTTCAGTCCTGTGCCTTAATTTACAAGGCTTTCCCAATAAGCCCCAAATACACAGTTAGTGGCACAAGAAAGTCAGACTAAAGATGCTGGGCATAGAAATAAGAAAACAAATAGAACAAAGCAGGCTTGAGAACTGCATCGGATACCCTCTGCCTGTCTGTAGAGCGTGATTACAGCTGATGGAGCCAACACTACTGAAGTCTCTGGGCTGTGGAGCATCCCAAGAACACCCACCTTGAACAATTCTTCAATAAGACACCAACTTCACTGGTTAAACATGTGAGCTACACAGTTAAAGGTAATGGGTAAAAGTGCCAAGATAGAAAAAGGTTAGGTATACTATGACCCCCATTTAACAGATACAAAAGTCCATACAAAAAACACCAGGACAATACAATCACTTGGAATCCTTCTCAGAACTGTCATACACATGGTTCCATATCCCACAGAAGCAAATTCTGTGAGGGAAGACCCAGGACTGCTGTTCACCATAGCATCCCTGAGCCCAGGATAATGCCTACCATATGGCAGGTGCTCAGTAACCAGAAGTGAATGAATAAAAGGCCCGTACTAGACCACTATCAATATTCCAAGTAATACAAAGGACCAAAAAATTTCAGCAAATTTATGATTGGGGGGAGAAAAGCCTTTGGGCCTGGGGTGTTGCCTAGTGGTAGAGTACATGCTTGGCCTCCATGAGGCTTTGGATTTGATTGCTGGCCTCATCCTCTTGCCCCCTCTGAATCGTTCTTATTCTCTGAACTACTTAGCATTGTTTCCACTGTAACAAAGGGATCAGGGCACAAAAAAAATACCCATATCTCCTGTGAAAAACCTGGACCACAGACCCTCTTCCTAGGGAGAGGGAGGTACCCTCTTCCTAGTTTTTCACTGAGAGCAACGAACAGGGTTGAGTTGAGCCATATGGAGCTACTATCTCACACAGGAGGGTGGGCAGAAGTCCATACTTAACCATTTGGTCTAACTTAGTATTTATTAGGAAGATATCCATTATAAGTTGTAGTGGGTAGCCATTTATTTATTTTTTTCAGACAGTGTCATTGGAACCAGCCTGAAACTTGCTATAGCAACCCAGAATGATGTTTGTGCATATTACATGTCCTCCACAAGACCCACTCTACTGAGTGAAAAGATAATGTCCATCCCAACTGCTGAGAAAATTAAGCCCCAGTCACAGCAGACCTGTCCCTTCCTATCCTTTTATTAATCCTACACAAGAGATAAACTGCGGACTCTATTTATTCCCCACCCCCTGCCCCCATTAACCCCATGCAACCAACACACACACGTGGGATAGCTCTCTTCAGAATAAGACCAGAGCTTCCCCAGAAAAGAGACTAGGGAGTGGGGCAGTGTGTGTGTGTGTGTGTGTGTGTGTGTGTGTATGTGTGTGTGTGTGTGTGTGTGTGTGTGTGTGTGTGTGTGTTTGCTGGGTGGTGAACAGCATGAAGCAAATGAAAGCAATTTCTGTGTTCAGAAAACAACAATTGTGGCAGCTGGTATGATACCAGTCTCGGATGCTTCCTGAATCTTTGACTATGTCAGAGAGAGGGCACAGTATGTTTGCTTACTCATAAGTATTTGTTTAGAACCTACTACGTCCTGGGCCTTGGGGGCCTATAAGAAAAGTAGTGGCAGAACTCGGCAGTCGGGACCAGAAGTGGGAAGGAGACAGAAACAAGAGAATCGTGAACAAGCATATGCCACAGGATAAAAGGTGACACGTGGCTGTAAAATGGGGTGGGGCTGAGTAAGGAGTGCGTATTTGCGGGAGTGTCATCTGAATAAGTACTCCTGGGTCTATAATCTTAACTAGGGGGCCATGAGCTAGAAAAGGTGATAAAGGACACAAGGACTCAGCTTGTGGATGTGTGAAGAAGAGCTGGGCAGGCAGAGGGAACAGCTAGTACCCAGGTCCCAGGGCAGGAGCTCTACTGGATCAGGAAAGGAACAGCATGGAGGTCGCAGTGGCTAGAGCAAGGTGGACAGAACAAAAGAACAGGATAAATTTGAGGTCTCAGAGATACAGGAGTGGGTCATGAAGACCTAGTGCAGGTGTCCAGCTGTTCCCGAAGTGTATGTCAACAAAAGGCTGTACACAGGGGCTGGGGTGATAGGTCAGTGTCAACAGCACTGACTTCTTACACAGGACCGAGGCTTGATTCTCAGCACCCACAGGGAGGCTCAAACCATCTGTAACTTCAGTTCCAGGGGGATCCAATACTCTCTTCTGGCCTCCAAGGGCACATGTAGACAAAACACCCAAACACATAAACGATTTTTTGTTTGTTTTTTTGAGACAGGGTTTCTGTGTAGCCTTGGCTGTACTAGAACTAGCTCTGTAGACCAGGGTGGCCTCAAACTCATAGGTCTGCCTGCCTCTACCTCCAGAGTTCTGGGATTAAAGGTATGCACCACCATAGCACAGCTTAAAATGAACCTTAAAAGAGAGAAAGAGAGAGAGAGACAGCGAGAAAAGACCGTAGAGACAGACCGGCATACCAGTATCAAGGCTCACGGTGACTGCTTTGCTGTTTGAGAGTCTGGGATGAGGGAACTAGGGAGCAGACGTGAGAGACCAGCTGGGGGCTCTGATCACATGAAACTGAGGACAGGTACTGAGAAGAGCTGAGACATGGGAGTAGTGAGAACAGTACCCAAAAACCTCTTCACAAGCTAGATGGGGCTAGAGAAAGGGCAAGGAAACCTGCTGACTGGAGAACTCAGGAGTAGGGGCAGCACTTGAGAAGAGAATCTGGTCTAAAACCCACTGGCTCAGAGATGACTATGGGACCCAAGAAGAAAAGCTGGCAAGCAGGCCACAGATGAGAGCAGTGATGCTGACCGAGGATGCAGTTTGCCTTCCACCTCTCCAGAGCCTTAGAGAACTTCAGCAGACAGGTGGAAAGCCTTTCGACCATTCTGACATGACTCACAGCACCAACATCAGGGAAGCTCAGGAAACCCCTGGCACTGCAGGTAAACCGTCTCTTTACTCAGCCAGCTAGGCCCAGGTGGTCTCCTCCAGGACACCTGGAATGATTCTGGAATGGACACCACTCCAGTCAGCTGGGAAAGAGGAGGAGTGGATTCCTAAGAGGCTAAGCATCCACCTTCTGCACCAAGCTCATGGGTGTGGTCTGTGCTTACCTTCTCAATGTCCACAAGCTCAGTCTCATAGATCTCTGCAATCGTGATGTGGTGCTTGGCTGCGATTGTAAACCTTCCCTAGGGGAGAAAGCAGAGTCATGCACCTGCTTTACCTACACAATCACCAATCAGTTTGGGAATAGGAAAAAATACAACTCTAAAGCAGCTCAAGGACTCCACCCCACAGCCATTCAAGCAATGCAATGTCTTACCATGTCTGTGTAAATGTCGATGGCTGCATTTAAGCAGTTGATAGCCTCTGAAGCGTGGGCATTTAAGAAAAACAATGAAAAATTCATTCAGTGAAAGAGGGTTCAGCTGAGCCTGTTTCTTGGCTGCTACTGATGGTAAGGAGGTAAAATTTTAGGTAGCGGGTGGGCAGCCTGGTTAGTGGGAGCAGACACAATCATGCACAGTCCAGATTCATTAGCGTGGCATTGTTCCTAGCAGCTGCACTGGTATTTAAAGCAGTGTGGCTGCAGTAGTAACTGGTTCAGTAACTCTTAGGGCGGTCCATCAAGGTGGCAGATTCTATTACAAAGGAAACAAGACCACAGGGATTGCCACCCACACTGGTAAATCACACCTACTACTATACAAGGCAAATCCAGTCTTCATTAATATCATGTGTGTTTATATTCATTTTGGCAAATATCACTTCTTCACAAGGAAGACCATTTCAATAGTCTCCACTCTTCATGCAGCCAACATCAAAAGCACTTTGTAATGCTTGTTCAGTTCTTAAGCCAAATATGTAAATGTGTATACTGCTCAAAGATGCTAACATTTGGTATACTGAAAGTTATATAAAAGTTACAGTGGTATACATATCCATGAAATGAAGGGAAAACGTTACATGGCAATGCTAATAAATTATATATTCGTGCCGGGCGGTGGTGGCGCACGCCTTTAATCCCAGCACTCGGGAGGCAGAGCCAGGCGGATCTCTGTGAGTTCGAGGCCAGCCTGGGCTACCAAGTGAGCTCCAGGAAAGGCGCAAAGCTACACAGAGAAACCCTGTCTCGAAAAACCAAAAAAAATAAATAAATAAATAAAAAAATAAATTATATTCGTTTCCTAAGATGCTGAGCCAGAAAATATCCTCTCACAGAACAGTGTAGCCAACAGCACCAAGTTTGCCTTCAGTTTGAAAGGGAGCAAGGAGGCCAAGCTTGACCAGAGAAATAGAAGTGACTAGAACAACAAAAATAAAAAGCCACTTCTCCCTAAAGTGTATTTAAAATGTACACGCACCACTATACCTTACAAATTACAGGAAAACAGAGAGCGAGCCTATCCATAATGCCACTCAAGCCCGGCATTCCCATTTCAGCACTTTACAGTGTTTTGGATGTGTTTCTACACGCACAAAGGTTTTTTCAGAAATTGTGGCCACACAACACTCGGTTCCTTAATTTAATTAGCATGTGACCATTTACCAGGTCAACAAACATTCTATGAAACCCAGCACTTTGGTTTCTTTGAGGTAGGGTCTCATATCCCAGGCTGGTCTGCAACTCCCAAGTCTCCAGCCTCTGTCTCCCAAGAGCTGGGGTCATGGGTGTGTGTCACCACAACCAGCCCCAAGCCAGGGGCTTGGACGCCTGTGTGATATCCTACAGTATGGAGTCATTCTGCTCACACCCGCCGTGCCCAGCCTTTCACTGTTGGAAATAAAAACATGGCTGATCTTTACAGAAATAAGCTTGATGACATTTTTCTTTGGACTATATTCCTAGAAGTTTAGATAAAAGATGACTTAAAGATAACCATGTACATGAATGGGATTTTAATACCTTAGTTTAATCATTCTCCAAAAAGAAGTAACATTTGCAAGAATTTTACTAATTTAATGTCCAATATTCTTCCCAAAAAAATCTTTGAAAAGCAATTAGAAAAACAATGAAAAGTATTGTGTAGCTAAGACACAATACTTTTGACCACTGAATACTATATTCCTTCACTAAATGAAATACATTTAGGAGGATGGGAACACCAGGATTTCCTTCTTAGTTCAAGAACATATTTCATGAAGATGAGATAAGGTGCCTGTAATCCCAGCACATGAGAGGCAGAGGCAGGAGAGTACAGAGCTTCAAGTTTGAGGCCAGTTTTAGCTACATGATGAAAAACTGTCTCAAATGTCCCTTAACTCCTCCAAACCGATGTCTTTATGATTAGAGTAGACATTATTAAAATGACCAAAATTTCTTTTTTATCTCATAATGCAAGAATTCTTATTACCAGGACTCAGCATGGCACACCAACTTCAACAGCATAGGAAATGCCGCTGGCCAGTGACACAGAGCCACCAAGCGGCCTTACCTTGGGGGTCTGCCTTCTTGTAAGCATTTCCAGCATCGACAAAGCTCGTGGCAGAGTCATGCTTGCTCTGAAGCTGCATGTGGAGCTTGGCGGCTTGACAAAACGCATTTCCTGCAGCTGAAGAAGATGCCACAGTTAAATAGCGAGGAACAGCCTTCCCAAAGAAGACTCCAGGACCCACAGGAAAAGGTACAGGTCTCTAAAAAAGGCCTGCAGCCAGAGACCATGGGTATCAAGACAAGTGCATCTGGGTGTTGGTCACTTTCCCCTGATAGTTCCCAAGGATCTGCCAGGCATCCTGGACACCAAGCCACCTTTCTCTGGCCCCCACTTCAATGACTGACAGCCAACATTTGGGCTCTTGAGCTCTATCCCATACCATAAGATCAGCCCAACAAGGGGCAGTCAGCCTCACACAGTTAAAGGCCAAGCACTGAAGCCAAGGCTATTCATCTACTCATTTCTCAATCCCAGTACCCATGTCACTCAGGTGTCATGTCACTCCACTAGGAAAAGCATGACTTAGAATGGTATTAAAACCATAATTCAATGGTTCTCAACCTTCCTAATGCTGCGACCCTTTAATACAGTTCTTCATGCTGTAGTGACCTCTACCATAAAATTATTTTCATTGCTAATTCATAATTGTTATTTTGCTACTGTTATAAACAGTAAACATCTATGTTTTCTGATGGTCTTAGGTGACTCCTGTGAAAGGGTCATTCAGCCTCCAAGGAGTTGTGACCCACAGGTTGAGAACCACTGACTTAGAGTTTAAAATCCTTGGGGGAAGATGTGATATGGTTTGCTACGACAGGATCTTGCCTTCCCTGAAGCTCCACTCACAATCCTCTTCTGCCTCAGCCTCCCAAGTGTCAGGACTACAGACAGGCATGTGCCCAGGCTCATGGTCTGAATGCTTGCTCTCTAGCAGGCAGTGCTATTTTGGTTAGTTCTAGAAGCTTCAAGAGGTGTGACTAAGCAAAAAAAACATGGTCACTGAGGGCTGGGGCTCATTAGGGCCACCCACCTTCCTTTCCTTGCTCTCACTTCCAGTCCACAAAGGCGAAGAAGCCCCTCTACCATGGCTCCCACTCCATGACATTCTACCCAACAAGCACACACTGAGCCCCTGAACCCGTGAGCTAAGTGAGCCTCCCCTCCTTCAAGCTCTTCTGAGTATTCTGCTCACAGCTAGAGGCCGTACCAACAATCCCAAAGTCGCGCACTCTGCTAAGTAACCATTTGCTTCAAAATTTCCCTGTAAGAAACAAAACATCTAATTCTGTGAAAGCTGTCTCTCTTGTCCCAAACACCCTCTCCACAGGTATTAACCTAATTCCCATGTGGACCTCTGATCATCATCAAGGAAAGGAAGCCACACAAACCCTGTAATCTGCTCCAGTTCAATTCTTGTCCTGTGCCTCTGTTTCTGACACAAGAGTACACATGAAATTTAGGAAACATTCACTACCTAGCACAACATGGGTGCTACTGTGGTCTGAATGTTGGTGCCCCCCACTCTTCATATTTTGGAATCCAATACCCAATGTGATAGTATTACCCATTAGGGCCTTTAAGGAAGTTGTTAATATCTGAGTATTTCACACTTATGAGTGGAATTAGTACCATTATAGAAGATACTGAAAGGAGCAAGTAGCCTTGTGAGATGAAGCAAGAAGATGCCATCTTGGAAGCAGAGAGAAGTCTTCACCAGATGCTGAATCTGCTGGCACCTCGATCTTAGATCTTGGACTCTTCTGCTTCCCAAGTTGGCAGCAATATATTTCTGTATTTTATAAATTACTCAGATGAAGGTGTTTTGTTACAGCAGTAGCAAAGGACTAGGGAGACACTGACCAATGAGAACAGGCCTGACAGCTAGAGCTGGATCAGAATAATCCCTGCTGGCAACAGGAGAGCCACATAAAGAGGTAAAAGCCTGAGAAGCACCAAGGCCAAGCTAGCTGCAGGAATAAGCCAGCTGATCAGGAGCTTTGATGGGCTCTGCCTTGGAAGAATGTAGTGACCTGGACCTGACATGAAGTTTTGGGAGGACCTGGCTCCGGAAGCACCATGCTGCCACTTTCATTACTGCAGACAAATCTCTCCTGAGCGCATCCCTGTACTCCAGCACATTCCTCACTTTACAATCCCCCCAGTAACAGATTGGTTACTGTCCCAGAACCAATCATGGTCTCTCCTTTTCCTGCTGGGGGAACAGCACAACAGCCGCTCCTTCGGACTACCTCAATCTCCAAGATGATAGTCGGTGCTGGTTTTACCATTTCATGCCACCACTTTATTACTTGGAACAAAGTAATTACCTGGCCACTGCTGACAAGGGCAGGCCTCTCTCGATCTGGAAGTGTCTTTACAGAAGAATGGCATCTGGGAAGTTACCCAACTTGTCAGGCTTAGTTTGAATAGTGGCGAAAAGCATTAGCTTAATCATTATAAAAGAACTTTTAAAATTATAAAAGACAAAATGGTATCATGATCACCACTGGTGCATCACTGCTTTAATTCCAGGGCCTCGTGTTTATTTATTCAATTACTAAGTAAATATACAGAATATCTACCACATCAGAGACACGATGTGGACCCTGGAGATGCAGTCATAATGGAAACACATAAACACTCTGACCTTCAAAAGAACATGCTAGTGAGGGCCACTATGTGATGAATACATGTAAATATAAATAACTAAAACACCATGTAACGTCCTTGTTTTTTGCTAGGTGGTAATATGGCTAGTGGGGAAGAGTAGTGAGTTTCCAGGAAGTAGATTATTGCTTATAAGAGGTAGTCAAAAGAGAGCTGGCTGAGAAGGTAACATTTGAAGATGGACCTGAAGAAAGCAACCAATGAGGGCACAGTATGCAGACAGAGGTAACAGCACATGCCAAGGCTGTGGGGTGGGAGCCAGGCACATGAGCATGAGCAGAGCAGATCAGAAAAAGGACGAAGACAGTCCTGGAAGGTCAGTGTACAGACTCAATACATGACCTGACTTACTCTGCCTCAGTAAGACTGACCAGGAGCTCAGTATGGTGGCACATGCCTACTATCCTAGCACCTGGGAGATAGGGCAGGAAGACAGCTCCAAGTACAAGACCTATCTGGGCTTATAATGAGTTCCAGGACAGCCCAGGCTCCACAGTCAGTTACACTGTCAAAACAAAACTGAGAAAGGGCAGAACTTGGGGACATTGGGGACACTATCCTGGCAACAGACAGAGGCAGGGTACTTGTAAGGCCTCTACAGGTACATAGAGAACAAGGGCCTCTCCAAGTGAATTTCCTAGGATCTGACCTTCAGAAGAAACAGGTAAGCATTCCTGGGTAAGATCCCCTTTTACCTGGGATTATAGGACTTGAATAGAAAAGATGGACTGCTGGGACGATTCTGTTTGTCTTCCATTTGTTCTTCAGTAAAATACAACGTGGGCCTAAGTGCTTCTGAAACCCTTCTATCTCCCTTCTAACTAAAGCTCTACTGCAAACTAAGCTGATAAAGGAACTTCAGAGCCAGATGCTGACGTTCAGATCCACCCAGCTCAAAAGCATCTTCTCCTCTGAAACAAAGTGTGTGCCTTAAGGGCCATGGGAACAGCAGCTAGTAAAGGGCAGGAGCCATTTTGCACCTTACAGCAGCTGTTTGCTAAGCAGGAGACCCACGTTCTCTCTGGCCCAAGCCTGCCTCGGCATTCACTTGCATAAGGATCCCACCACCATCTGAGCTATAGAAGAAGTCTCTTTCTCCAAGGGAAAAAGAGGTATTTTTCTTTCCAATTTGTGTTAGCAAGGGCAATCCCCCCAGACAAGGAAAAGAAGAATCTTAGTGTGAGGACTTACTTTAAAGAATGTGTTAGTTAATGGGGGCTTATGTAAAGATCTCTCGCTGTCACTCAGTTCTCAGTGAATTCAGAGTAGAGAATTGTTTTGAAATTCTCAACTCATGCTAAGGCCATTTCTATCCATCTTGTTAGTTCTCAATGAGTTTTCCTATAATTACGGCATTGTATTTACTGGAATACAATTCTAAGAAGCACACCTACTTTTCCTAGTCTATGAAATGCTTCTTTCAGATTTCACAAGCCTACTGTACTGGTGGCTTGCAGAAACTGAGGCAGACGTTGTCCCAGTGCTCAACCTTGAAACCAGGTTAGTTACCTGAGATGATGATCCTCTCAGCATCAAAGCCTGCCTTTGGGACCAACAGTCTCACTCTCTAAAGGGAATACACAGTCCTGTCTTCCTACAGAATTATGTTCTAAAGTGTTTGCCTGAGAAGTAAACAAAATGTCGTACATACCACTCCAATTCTTGGCCATCTTGAACATATTTGCGGCTCTGGTATACATTTCACATGCTTCTTCTATTCTCGTGTTTCCTCTAAGAGAAATTTAAATATGAGGTTATACTTGTTGTTAATAACCATCCACATCTCTCCTCCCTCCCTGAAACAATAAGGGCATTATTTTATTATTTATCATGAAATTATTACTATATTATTATAACCCTGAAATACTCAATGAGCTCTCCTGTGCATGAGACAAACTACAGAATCTTAACAGCCAAATACTGTTCCTGACCCCAAATTCCGGATGAGGAGGCTGAGGAAGGCTAAAGTTACTGTCCTGGGCCACATACTCAATGCCATGAAAATGACACCTAGACAAAGACCTGGTGAATCCAGAGTCTACAACATTAACTAGAGTGTTCTAGGTATAACAAATGCAACTTTGTTCAGTGGTTAAAAACACTTGTTCTTGCAGAGGACCTGGGTTTGGTTCCTATCACTTAAATGGAGGCTCACAACCATCTGTAACTCCAGTTCCAGGAGGATCTGATACCCACTTCTGACCTCTGTGGGCAGCAAGCATGCTCATGGTATATATACATATATGTTGGCAAGGCACTCATACACACAAAAATAAATATAGTGGCTCTTGCTAGTGGCCATGTCAGAGGAGCAGCAGGTGGCAATTGAAAGGGTGTCAGCCCACTAGGAGGCAACTCCCTGAGGTGACTCTCAGATAGGCAAGGCCCTGAGACCACAGACTCCAGAATGTCTTTTGCTTCTGCTGAGCCTTTACATGTTTGCTGCTGCCATCTTTCTTTGGTATCTGGCATGGTGTGAATGAGGGTGGGGAGATCCCCACTGCCTGTAATGTAGTGTGTTTATCTCATGGAAACATCCCATTCACCTGTGGATTATTATGAAGATGATTTCTTCCTAAACTGTACTGTTTAATTGATAATAATAATGTTAGTTTAAATTGAGTTTTGATGATAAAAAATAAAACCAGTTAGTGTCACACAGCTAGAACACATGAGTTTCTACTGAGTCATATAGACTGTCACTTAGGTTAATGATTAAGGAAAACAACTGAGTCCCAGTAGCATAGCTAGTTTAAATTCTTCTAATCGTAATGCTGGGAGGTATGTTCACAGGTATCATTAGCTGAAACAATGCCTCAAAATAACTTCAGGTTAGATCAGATGTTTTGATAATAGCTTTGAGATGAAAAACCCCAGAAAATAATCTAAAGCTCACAAGGACACATAGCTGAGTTATAAATTCATTAGGTTAGGGTCAAAAATACAAAGCAGGCCCAATTGTTGCTAGCTGACGTACTTTCCTTGCTAGGTTTGGTTGATGATCAAAGGTGATAATTAATCCTTTGTGCCTATTTTTGCCCCCAATCTTCTGATATAAGAAACTATTGATGAGTGGATATGCAGCCCAAGATTTAAAGTAAAGCTGACTGATTGTTTTTCATGTATAAAAGTTTAGTTTTATGATTCCTTATAAGATTACTGTAGTATGAATCTTAAAGAGTCTTACTAATAAAATCAAACCTGAGGCCAGTTATTGGGGTGAATACTGGAATATCAGAGAAGCAGAACAAGCCACAGCTACCTTGCCTCACCAGTTCCTCAGCTGATCCTGTTTCCTCAGACTGGAAGCTTCTGAGTCCTCATCCAGAATGAATCTCAGCTGAACTGTGCTGCTCGAAAACTTCTGGTCCTCATGCTTTATATACCTTTCTGCTTTCTACCACCATTCCCTAGGATTAAAGGTGTGTGTCACCATGCCTGGCTGTTTCCAATGTAGCCTTGAACTCACAGAGAGCCAGAGAGATTTTTACCTCTGGAATGCTAGGATTAAAGGTGTGAGTGTCACCATTTTCTAGCCTTTGTATCTAGTGGCTGTTCTGTCTCTGACCCTAGATAAGTTTATTAGGGTGCACAATATTACAATATTTTGGGGAACACAATACCACCACAGATTACCTTTCAAGACAAGTAATGAAGTGTTTGGTCCTTTCTTTTTTTTTTTTTTTTTTCCTCAGAGCTGCGGACCGAACCCAGGGCCTTGTGCTTGCTAGGCAAGCGTTCTACCACTGAGCTAAATCCCCAACCTCAATGGTCCTTTCTTTGTAACTGCAAAATGCAGCCTGCCAGTGAAAGAATACTTTGCTTGCTTACACTGTTAATCTATAACAAGTTGCTTGGGTATGAATGTACGTGGGTTCTTGGGATAACTTGTTTTTCACCTGACATACTTAAAATGTTTAATTATGTAAGGGATAAAAAACATGCTGTTAAAGAATAATCAGACTGCAACCCACAGGACCAGGGAGGCTACATAGCAGGATGACTGTGGCTGATAATAAGTTTTGGTTTTACTCAATTACTGGGCAAGCCTCAGTGAAACATTTCACTATTAGGATAAGAATTTGTACTGTAGCAAGCTGATAATAGAAAAATAAATAAATAAATTATAAAAAACATGCTGGGTTTTTTTTGTTTTTTGTTTTTTTTTTACTGTTTGTTTTGTATTCATTGTAATTATTCACTTGAAAACCAGAATGTAACCACATTATAATTCCTATATTGCCTGAAAATTTGTTGGGGTATATAAGCTGTAGGAAAAAAGTATACAGTAGAAAGAACACAGAAGAATAGAGAATAAAGAAGGAAACCATCAAGACAGAGTGTGAGTGTTGCTTTCCCCTAACTCCCTCAGATAGAAAAATCTAGTATGTGCTGACTCTATGGATTTCCCTTTGAGCCCTGTACTGTTGGGGGCTGGCCCCCCAGGCAGCAATAATATCTAAAATTTTTTAGAAATGCAAGTTTTCTATCAGGCTAGGTAAATAGACTTCTTTATATTAAAGTGTATTTCTCAAAGAAGATTGCATTTTGAAGGAAGATATCTAATCTTGCCACTCTTCAACAGTTTAGCATAAATCCTAAAAGCCAGATGTGGTGGCCCAGGCCTGTAACCCCCACATTGGAGCAGCAAAGGCAAGAGAATGGTGAGTTCCAGGCCAGCTTGAGCTCAATGGTGAGACCTTGTCTGAAAAGCAACTACCCAACCCCCAGAAAAGTCACAAAACTGCCAACTTTGGTAGGGGTCAGCCTGTCTCCAAAATGGAAGAACCTCAGAGTCCTATTCTCACCAGGTACAGAAAAGCATTGTGTAAACATCTTGAGAAGAGGACACTCCACAAGCAACAAGAATGCATGTAGTTCTAGAAAGTTCTTCATTGGGCAGCTAATTCCTACTGATGGATAGCTTAATTTGTTTATTTTTAATTACAAAAATTATTTTATATAATAATGTTATGTAATAATAATGTAAAAATTATTTTATGAGTGTTCTGTTGGCATGTATCTCAGAAAGGGCATCAGAGCTCATTGAATCTGGAGTTACAGATGGTTGGGAGCCACCATGTGGATGTTGGGACTTGAACCCAGGTCCTCTGAAAGAGCAGCCAGTGTTCTTAACCACTGAGCCATCTCTCCATCCTCTAGGGGATAGCTGTATATACTGAGCAATTTCTTCATACACAAAGCCACATTAGTCTTTGGTGATTCACCTATAGTTCTGAATTCAACTCTGCTTCTAATTAGCTCAGGCCCTTCCAAACAAGATATTTGTCTATTTTGTCTGTGTACACTGCAAAATAAAATCTCAGAGGAAGACCAAGGCCCAGGAGACTCTGACTGTGTGGCACATACGATGTGGACTTCAGAGTGCGGAAACACAGACTTGACAAGGAGTGGACGAAGGAAGACAAGCACATCTCCCATGAGCTCGGGTAGATCGTAAGTGAACTAGTACAGATAAAGCAAGGGCCGGTGGAGTAGAATCTCTCTCCTTTGCTCCATTGCCAAGTATGCAACATTCTTTCCCTACAAACAGACCTCCACCATGTGAGGACAGGAAAGGATAACGCCAGATGCCAGCACCTTGACTTTCCAGGTCTACTCTCCAGAATTGAGAAGTATGCCTCTGTTCTTCCTTTAAACTATTCTGCCTCAGGCATTCTGATGTCACAAGCCAGACTTAAGACATCAAAGCCAAGAGTGTTGGGGAGAAAGAAGCAGGAAGGCATGTCATAGGCAAAAGGTGTGTTGTTTCATTTGGGGGTGGTTACTGTCATGGTTGCACAGCTCCACTACGCAAAGATTTTTAAAAATCAGCAAACATTTCTGACAGGTAAAGTATCTGCCAGTTTATATCTCAATAAAAGGCTATGCCTGCCTGCCAAATAAAATAACCTGGGGCCATGTCACACAAAGAATGACAGGATGTCATCAAGCCATTCCAAAACCAAAGAGCCAAAACAAGCAAGGTTTTCGACCTCAGCCTTCTGGTCCCTTTTCTCTACTTCAAATCTACATTAATTTCTTTAAAGATTTACTTTCTTTATGTGTATGAGTGTTTTGCCTGCATTTATGAACGTGCACCATTTGTGTGCCTGGTGCCTATAGAAGTTAGAAAACGGTGTCAGATCCCCTTAACTGGAATTAAGGAAGATTATAAGCTGCCATGTAGGTGCTGGGAACTGAACCCAGATTGGAAGAACAGTCAGTACTCTTAAGCTCTGAGCCATCTCTCCAACCCATCCACATTTCTTTCTTTCTTTCTTTTTTTTTTTAAAGCAATGAACTAATAGGCTTCCCTAGTGGAAAATTCCTCATGAGAAGTTTCTCACTGTTAGTCACAGCTCCACAGTTAACACAAGCTAGCCTTTTCCGTGTCTTGTTTTTCTGTCAAGTACCAAAAATCTTTAACTGTAATTACAGGGTAGTGCAGTCGTTCTTATTAAGTTTCTAAATAAAACTAGCTTAATTAAAATGTACCTTATCTTACTTCCAAGTAGAAATGTGAACAACAACTGTGCTAAGTTCACACCAGATATTGCCACATCAGGTCATTTTCTTTTAATCATTATATATCATTACAATAACGGGAGGATACTACCTTCATCTCACAAAAGAGACACTGGCATCTGGAGGCCAGTGGCTCACCTTGACCACTCAGCACAGGCTAGCAATGCAGCTGAGTCCTGACTTCAAATTTAGAGATCGTTGTG